TTAGTGAGCCAAGCCAAAAGAGCCGGTTCTCTAAAAAAAACTGGAATACCCATCACTAGTGTCTAGAATGTGATGCAGAAATGCCATTAGTCCGACCTACTGTCTGTAAATATGATGTACAGAGGCAGAATAACAATAAATGTTGCCTAAATAAACCCAATTTAAAATCCACCAGAGCCAAACCTAAGTTTTTTAAACAATTCAACATTTACAGTGAATTTTTACGTCACTAAAAATATTGGCGATTATATCGGCTATCGGCAGCTCAAACTCCCATTATATCGGTTTCATATCGGCCACAGCAAAATCCATATCGGTCAGGCTCTACCTCTTGAACCTCCGGCCAACCTGCGTGAAGTTGGCCCCCATCAAACGCACACTTGGACAAAAACTATATCATTGTTTGTGCTACAAAAAGTTTAGTTTGTGTTGCTTTAGTTTTGGAGATATTAACGATTCTTTTATAGGTCAAATTGGGGTCAGTCAGCTCCAAGGAAACTTCAAAATGCTCTAAAACAGCACAACCTGGAGTCAATTGTTTGTGCTGTTTCGTGCTGCAAGAAGTTTCATTTGTGCAATTCTGGTTCTTAAGAAATTAGCAATTTTATTTTTGGCTGTTGACGTCATCCAGCCCCTCAAAATGTTAAACAGCCTCAAAACAGACAGAAACAAAAGATACAAAACGTCTGTATTTCATTTGTGCTGTGACTATTTTCATTTGTGCGAGTATATTTCTAAAATTATGGATTATTATTTTGCAGAAATTATATGACAGCGGCTTTAACAAAACTCCACAAAACTAGTGAAGGGAAACAATCTGAGGCTGTGGAAAAGTCTGTATCATTATATAAAATATGAATCCAAAGCAAGTTACTAAAGATAGAGACTTTTCCACAGCCTCAGATCGTTTCTCTTCACTAATTTTGAGGAGTTTTGCTAAAGCCGCCACCGTCAGCTGAGCGGAAATGACGTCATATATACGTCAAAAATAATAATGAATAATTTTAGAAATATACTCGCACAAATGAAAATTGTCACAGCACAAAACAGCACAAATGAAATTCAAATGCTTCATATAATGTTCTGATGTTTTGAAGCTGTTTCACATTTTGAGGGGCTGGACGACATCATCAGCCCAAAATAAAACAGTTAATATCTTAAGAACCAGAATCTATGGAAGACAATTTGTTCCATCAGATTTTGAATTTTCAATGCCATTGAATTTCTCACATTGAATGTTTTAACTCTGAAAAAAACAGTTTGAATTATTTTTTTATTCTGAATTGTAGTTGCTGAAATGTTAAGTATACATTTTCCAAAAAAAATAAAAAATCACCTTTTAAATATTCAGCGCAAATATTTTCAAGCCCTCAAATTCAACAGTCAAAATTCAGAGTGTGAAATTTGACAGAAGCAATCGATCCAAAGTGATCCGATCTAACTTAGTAACAAGCAGGAAATGGTGCAGTGATGTGATCTGATTGGTCAGAATTCGCCTCATCAAAACCTCATCTCTTTTATTTGTTAAGTGTAAACCCCGCCCACAGATGAGAAGGGCCAATAGGAAACAGCCTCTTTCCTCCTCACTCACACAGGATCGATTACTTCTGCCTTGGCATCTCGGATCTTTGCTGTGAAATTTTTCACTGCACATTTTACACTTTGAATTTTAACTTTTGAATTTGAGGGCTTGAAAATATCTGTGCTGGATGTTTAAAAGGTGAATTTTATTATTTTTTTTATTTATTGGAAATATATTGTAAAGAGTATACTTAAAATTTCACCAACCCAAATTCAGAATAAAAATCATTAAATTCTTTTTAAAAAAATTCAAAGTGAGAAATTCTGTGATTAAAATTCAAAATCTGATGGAACAAATTATCTTCCATAAAAATCGCACAAATGAAACTTTTTGCAGCACAAACGGCTGACTCCGTATTGGGACGTTTTAGAGCATTTTGAAGCTTCCTGGGGGCTGGCTGACCCCAATTTGACCTATAAAAGGATCGTTAATATTTCCAAAACTAAAACAGCACAAACTAAACTTTTTGCAGCACAAACGAAGCACAAACGAGCGACATAGTTTTTGTGTAGGCGTGCGTTTGATGGGGCCAACTTCAGGTAACAATTTCCGCAAAAGGAAAACATTCTTGTTTACATTATGGTTGCTAATTAACAGTTATGGAATTCCGTGATTGATACTGTGCGACGGCATCACGCTCGGGGGTGCTCTGTATGTCTATGGTGGAATGTTCGGCCGTTACCGTAGTGACACAGTGCACACATGAGCGAACACAGCCTGATAAGGAAGATAAGGTTTTAGGTCGTCTGTAAAACACAAGAAAAAACACAAAATGGATTCAAAGAGCACGTTCTCAGGAGCCTGTGGTCCTGTTTAAGCGTTTGCGTCACAACCCCAGGGAATGTTGATGACATGAGCTGCAAAGTACCAAAGTATCTGCTGCCCGTTTTTAGGACGTAAAATTATAAACTTGATCGAAATGTCTGAAGAGCACCAATTTTGCCCAACATGCCCAAACCATCTTCTATACTTCAAATGACGCAAAATCGGAATGTTTAAAGTGCATTTGTGTGGACTTGACTCCTCCCTGAGCCTGAACTCTCTGTAGGTTTCAAAGTTTGAAGGACCACACACTCAGAGACGATATCAGTGTTCATACTCGCGCAGTACCACTCTGAAGTACTATACTACAGTACTACAGTTAATGTGTAAACTGCTCTGTCTCTTAACCTGTGACCATCCCACACCTGCGAGAAAACAGCAGCACACACTCAAGCATGACCTGTTTGTGATCAGATTTTGTGGTTGAAAATTGTGAGGCTTGATTAGGTGCTAGATATTCGTTGGAAATGTTTCTTTTTAAGCAACAAGGAAAGAAGGGTATAAAGACTCTATTCACGCTTACGTCACAAACCAGAAGTGTAGGGAGTAACGCGTTCTAAAAGTAATGAATTAATGTAATAAGTTGCTTTTTGCTGTAACACAGTAATGTGGCAAATTCACTAAAATCAGCGAGATATCAGCCGCGGTGAAATGCCGGAGACGAGCTCGCTTAGATTGTCAGGTAACCGCAGGCGAAAGGACCGACGCAAAACTCCACGCTCCGTGAGGCTAAACACAGGTGACGCCTGATCACGCCTTGCAGACACCCTGTCTGGTTTAGTCCTGTTTTGTCCTGTTTTGTCCTGGTTAATCCCAGTTTAGTCCTGGTTTAGACCTGGTTTAGTTTTGGTTTAGACCTGGTTTAATTTTGGTTTAGACCTGGTTTAGTTCTGGTTCAGTCCTGGTTTAGATCTAGTTTAGTTCTGGTTTGGCTCTCGTTTAGACCTAGTTTAGTTTTGGTTTAGACCTGGTTTAGTCCTGGTTCAGTTCTGGTTCAGTCCATATACAGCGCAGAAGTTCAGCAGTTATTTTGGTGAGAGTAACTTAAAGGTAAAGCAATAGTGATGTAATGCCTTACATTTTAAATACAGTAATATTGTAATGTAACAAATTACTTTGAAATTACAGTAACAAGTCATAAATAACACATTACAGTTTTGAAGTAACTTGCCCAACAGTGCAAACCAGGAAGACGTTTGGAAACACACGTTGACAATTTCCCAGGCCCAGTTTTCTTCATCTCCATGTCATTGTAGCATTCTGTTATGTTCGGCTCATCAACAGTTAGAACCTTACCTCAGGTTTATCATTTCCACACTGACACACAACTCCGAGTGCACTGGGTACATGTGATTAGAAGAGATGAGGCTGCAAATTCCAGATGATTCCAAACATCACATACGTCTGCAGTCTTCATTTTACCACTGATCATATTTACTTCTGTGGGTTTGATCACAGTCGGTTTTAATAGATCCATGTTAGGAGAGCCCAGTGTCGGGAACTAAACCGGAAGTTCTAATCACATCTTCCCCAACGACTTCCTGGTTTGTGACATAGGTGTGAATAGAGTGTATTGGCTTTGTGTCTGTTATAGAGTTATTAGAGATGCAACGATACAGTTTTCCCACGATTTGATATGTATCTCGATACATGGGTCACGATATCAATTCGATTTTGATACTTTTTAAATTATTAATTTACTGTTTAATGTTTAATTTAAAAATTAAACTCAGACTTTTCCTTTTTTGATGATGATTTGATGTTTTCTTTTCCTTTTTCCTCCCTCTGCCTCGTCTCCAGCAGAAGAGACAGACAGTAGCTCCTCCCACACTGACCTGCAGTTTTTACACACACTGTGCTCTACTATCTTCTCTTTGAACACTACATAGAAATGCCTTAACAGACCGTTTTCTGAGGAAAACTTATGAGATAGAATCTGAGAAATAGATTCTGTATATCACAAGTCACATCACCGGTGCATATGAGTGTAAAAATGATTCTAAAGTATTTAAAAGTTCATCTTAAAAGTTCATCTTTGTCATTCCTGGGTCTATCAACATAAAATAAAAAATTACTGAAAGATAAAATCCACCTCTGTTAGAATATTTCAGCTGTAAGTCTCTATGGAGCTGTTTTTTTGCTGCATCTGAGGAGGATGTTGCGATAACTGTTTGGACCAAAATAAATGACATCACAGCGTGCATGGAGGGACACGTGCATATCGACCAAACATCTGCATTGAATTGTGATACCAGTATCTGATATTATATCAAATACGTTGCATCCCTAATAGTTTTAATCTATGACACCAGTGAATCATGATGTAAATAAAGTCTGATGTGAGTGGTCACTGCCTAAACCCCAGCTCCTGCAGCCAGTCGTGTATCAGGCCTGGGTTAAGACACTGGTAATACAGGCTCAGTTGTGAAATAGTTTTTGAAAAGAGTAAGAGAGCAGGCTACATACAGCTACTTTTAGACTCTGCATCATCTGTGAGTCACCGGCACATTGTTCCGAGCACTAAAATGTACTAACAGAGTGACAAGTCTAAAGAGCGGAGTCATGTCTAAACTCCCTGTGGTGTGTGTATTTTCAGTGTCCCCTCAGCGGGTCTCTCCATTCTCTCGGCCCCTGACCAGGGCCCGTCCCTGGGCTCCTGTCAGCCCCACACTCACATCATGTTCCTGAAGACCCATAAGACGGCCAGCAGCACCGTGCTCAACATGCTCTACCGCTTTGGGGAGGAGCGGGGACTGCGCTTCGCCCTGCCACTGGGCTACCAGCTGGGCTACCCACTGCCCTTCAACGCTCACCGGGTCAAAGGTTACAAGGGCCCCGGGGCCAGTGACTTCCACATCATGGGCAACCACATGCGCTTCAACAGAGCAGAGGTACAGTACACACACACGCACGCACACACCCGCACACACACACACGCGCACACACACACACAAACACACACACACATGCACGCACACACACGCACGCACATGTACATGACAGAGTGAAGAACATTTACTGTGACAGCACAGCATCACTTGCCTGAGCAGCCAGTCCCTTCTACATTCAGTTAGAATCCAGAAGAATCTGGAATCAGACCACAGTGTGAAAAACCTCCATCCTCATTTGAGATGATCCACCCACAGCTGCACTTATCTCTTAAATGCAGAAGACATCTCCAAAATTCTTGTAACACTCAAAACTAAATATAACACTTATTTTTCCTGAGACAAGAGTTTGGTGCTTTGATTTTTCATTCTGTAAAGTTCCACAGTGTTTCACAATGTTTTTTTTTTTTCCCCATGCTCTGTGTGTGAGCAGTCATACTTGTTTTTAATGTGAACAGAGCACGTGTGTCTCTGATTAGTTAATCCATATTTGACAGGTTAATCCATTTGTCAAGGCAAGTCTGACTTGCACTTTAAAGTCCTACATTATGCAAACTGACAACTCTGAGCTTTTAGCCACAGTACCCTTATTCACACACATTAGTATGACCTGTGGACCTTTGGTGATTTCTAATAATTGTGGAGAATGCCTGAGATCTTAATCCTGTATGAATGCACCATGTCTGTCATTTGTAAAGTGAAACCTTACCTATTGTATTTCACCAAACACAGACGTCCGTTGATAAAACATGTCCGTGTGAATCTGCATCTCAGTGTTTGTTGTTGTAATTGCTCCTTTTCTATCTCTTTCTTTTCTTTCCGTGTTCTTTTCTCTTTTAATCTCAGTCAGTGTCAGTAAAATAGAGTCATTTATGGACTTTGCTTATCCTGTGTGAATCTGCTGCAAGTAACACAGAGGTGGGGCAGTAAATTACCACACGTCCTCAGGTTGTACTTACCACGTGTGAATAGTTACATTGTCAAAAACATACTTGGTGTTGTGTTTTTATTTATTTCATTAACACTCCTGACCCGTGCTCCTGTGTCTTCCAGGTGGAGAAAGTGATGCCTTCTGACACCTTCTACTTCTCCATCGTCCGCGACCCGGTGGCGCTGGCCGAGTCCTCTTTCGCTTACTACAAAGAGGTGGCCCCCGCCTTCCGCAAAGCCAAGACTCTGGGGGAATTTGCCGACAACCCGCGAAAATTCTACGACCCGAGGCTCCGCAACAACCACTATGCTCGCAACCTCCTCTGGTTCGACTTCGGCATGGACCACAATGCCAACTTCTCCGTCCCCTTGGCGCGTTACGCTGAGAAAGTCATCAAGCAGGTCTTCAAGCTCATCCTGGTCTCCGAGTACTTCGACCAGTCCATGATCTTACTTCGGCACGCCCTCTGCTGGCCACTGGACGCCGTAGTTTCATTTAGCTTGAACGCAAGGCAGCAGAAGCCCGATCAGAGCAGCGGCAGCAGCTGGGTGGCGAAAGCAGCCACGACGCAGGCTAAAACACCTTCGAATTTTGCTCTCACAGATGAACAACGCGAGAAGCTCAGGGATTGGAACGCTCTGGACTGGGCTCTGTACCAGGCCTTCAATAGAACATTCTGGGAGAAGATTCAGGAGTTCGGTACGACACGAATGGACCACGAGGTGGCGCTGCTAAGGATGCGGCGCGAAGAGCTGGCGAGGTTGTGTCTGAGAGACGGTGGGAAGCCGGTGGAGGGGCAACGGATTCGGGATAAGACGATTCGCCCGTTTCAGAGCGGCGTCGTGAAAATCTTGGGTTACGAGTTGCAACCGCACTTGGACAACGCCACCCGGACCGCATGTCTCCGGATGATACGCCCGGAGATCCAGTATAAAGACCTACTGGACGTCAAGCAGTTTCCGAGGGTGACGGCACCAGCGCAACCGGCCCCGCCAGACTCCAGGGCGAGGGCGGGGCAAGGGGAGGGGGGAGGGGTCAGGGACGGGGATGGCAGCCATTTGAAACAGGAGCCGGTGAAATTGAGATAATGAACAAATGAACGAAGCAGGTCTTTTTTTTTTTTGTTCTGTCATGGGCGAACTCAAAGTCGTGTGTTTGTGAGCGCGTGGTGACCTTTAGACGGGTCTTCCATGAGGCGCACTTAACTCTCGCGATCCTCTATCACTCCACTTTAATCCGGGTTTACAGGAGGTCGTTTCTGAAGTGGCCTCCTGCTCCCCCTCGCCCTATGCACTTCCACTTGATCTGTTTTCTCAAGTCAAAGGGTTCAATGTGGGTCACGGTTTTGATTACAAATTTTCATAATCCGCGTATCATTCGTTCATTTGTTTTTCGATATAAAACCAAAAATAAGAAAACGAAAAAACAAAAAACAGAAACAACAACAAAAAAAACAACAACAACTGTTTTCTTCATTATTTGTCTCCAAAACCAAAATGAAAAAACGGATAATGACCGGGACCAGTTCGGGACTGAGACCGAGACCAGACCGGGACCAGACCGGGACTGAGACCAAGACCAGAACGGGACTGAGACCAGGACAAGACCAGGACCAGACCGGAGGTTCAGAGCCCAGGGCAGGGCCGGAGCTCAAAGCTGAGGCTCAGACCCTGCAGAGGCTCGGAGTAAAAGCTCAGAGTCCTGCTCTGGTCCCGGCCTAGTCCCGGACCTGGATCAGTCCTGGTTCAGTCACGTAAACGGGAACCGGTCGTTATCCGTTTTTTTCATTCTTCATTTAAACACAAAATCGAAAACTGAAAAAAACGAATTGTTATCTGTTTTTTCATTTTGGTTTTGGACACAAATGATGAAGAAAACTGTTGTTTTTTTTATTTTCTCATTTTCTTATTTTCTCTCTTTGGTTTTATACTGAAAAATGAATGAACAAATGACACGCAGATTTTTCTTCTATGTATCTTTTCTAGATGAAGGTCCACCACTTGCTTGACTACACAGTGATGTTATTGCTTTACCTGGAATGTTCCACAGTTGGCATTAACGTCTCTATCTGTCCAGCTCTATCTTTACTAAAAACATTTGTTAGTTTGAATTTGTCTCATAAAAAAGAAACAACGTCTGAGCAAAGTAAAATTTCAAGTTGGTAATAACTTAATTCCTAAGTGCGATTCTAGAAGCTTTGGCTTTTAAGGTGAGTGTAGAGCCTTTTGAACCCAGATGAATCCTGTTGAATCCTTTACGTAAAACATACTGTGGTGTGGTGGTGGTGTGGTGGTGGAAGTAAGCAGGGTTGAGGGCTGAGAGTCTGTTTCAGAAAGCCCCTTCTTCCAAGTCTGGATCACTCCGCTCTATCCAGGCTTGTTCTGTAATCCTGGATCACTTAAGTGTGACCATAGACTGTATAAAGACGTGGACTCAGAGTGTCACTCATAGCGTTTGGTTGCAATCAAATGAAGCTCATCGAGGCCTGCAGTTATAGCGACCATAGTTGGAAATACAAGCGTGGTCCCAAAGAGCCCATCAGGAGCAAGGCTGTAGAAAGTACACACCCCACCCCGTGGGCGCTTAGCAACAAGGCTGTCAATCAACCTGTTGGTAATGCTAGCGGGAGAGATTTCTGAGACAGAAGGCACGGGATTGGTCTGTTCCTAATGTTCATATCAAACTAAATTGTTACTGATACAAACATTTTACAACCAAAATGATGAGCCTGATAGCACCAGTTACTGTATTTTTCGAACTAAGTTGCTCCAGACTATAAGTCACACCAACCAAAAAATGTGTAATGAAGAAGATAAAACGTATATAAGTCGTGCCAGACTATAAGTTGCACTTTTTGTGGAAAATATATTTTATAAAATCAGAGACCAGGAACCGACATTTCATGTTGAAAGTCAAGTTCTAGTAATAAAAATAGAAGAGAAAACAACAGACTGTTAACGTCACATATGAACAGTTCTTCAGATAAACTATAACATAAACAACAGAATAGAACAAGTTTACCAAACTCTCCATCTCACTCCAAATCACTAAATCCATTCAGTTCTGTGCAACTCCATGACCTCTTTCTGAATCCTGACAGGATGGTTTCAGTGTCGCTGAAGTCCAGACTTTGTCCATCCAGTGACTTCAGGAAAGTTTCATGGTGCATCCTCCCAGTGTCACAAGTTTCTCTCTCACTCCAAACTTTCTTTCTGCTGCTCAATTACCATTTTCAGCTGCAGATTTCACGACTTGCAGCTTGTAATCTGCAAAATATGATTTTCTTTTTGGGGCATTTATGTTCAATCTTCTCAGTCGTCTTTATAAATTAGTTTAAATGTTAAATTGTTCAGTGGTACAGAAGTAATGATGTGATCGACTGACATGATACAGACAGGACAGAGGCTCTTTCTGCAGGAGACATGTGCAGTAGAGTGAAGTGACAGTGGTACAGGAGGAACAGGAGCAGCAGATACTCACACACGAGACTGGAGTGTGAACATTTTAATGTATAAATCACAGGGCCACTCAAACCATGAAAAAAGTGCGACTTATAGTCCGAAAAATACAGTACAGAGAGAGGGGCGAAGATATTTCAATAAAACGTGAATTGCAACCAAAGCTCAAAGGAAACACTTTGCACCCATGCACACTTCTAAAGAGTCCATTTAAATATACAGTCTATGAGTGACCAGAGTGTGTGAAGGGACATGTTATTTGGGTTGGGGGCATTATATGGAAAATTAATAATAGCCTTTAAATAATAATTGGTTCTCAAACTGTGGTACAAATACAACTTGGTACTGTTTTAGACCTGGTTTAGTTCTAGTTTAGTCCAGCTTCTGTCTTGGTGGAACATACATATGAAGCCAAATATTTTCTGCGTTTGTTCTCACTTTTAATGTATTAATGTATAATTTTGTGTAAGGTTGCGTTCCCGTTCTTGAATTTGACCTCATGATTTCAGATGGAGGGCAGTGGCCTGTGTTCACTATTTTTCAAAGATTCTCCAAACTTCTGATCCACAAATGTTGAACCTTCTCATTTTTTTATTTGGGATCTGCTCCACAACGTTCACATTCAGGGACAATTTACGCACAAGGAGCACATATCATAACTAGTGTGTAATTTAGACACATTTTGGCCCTTGTTTACATTATGGTTGCTAGGTACTTTGGTAACTGTTACCTCTACGTGTGTCACATCTCTGGTCCGTGTCCAAACAGGAAGTAAAATTGTAATCTTCACCCAAAGTGACAAAACTAAAAGAGACTAGACAAACATTTTTAGTCTGAAATATAATGGTGGTGGGGACTTGGACTTTTTCAGACTTGAGACTCGACTTAACCAAATGGACTAAGACCTGGGACTGAAACTTGGACTTGAAGATCAATGATTTGGGACTTGGCTCGGACTTGAGGCCTGTGACTTGAGAAGACTTGACGCTTTTCCTAAAAAAAATATGTTTTTCAAAAATACTTTTCTCTTTACACTTGGAACAAACTGAAACATCTGGTATCTTCAAATGTACTATATACTGCACAATACAGTAAAACAGAGGAACTATGTAGAACATTCTTCACGTTCATTCTGTCTTCTGATCATTGATGTTTTTAGGTTCTTTTTTCAGACCGAGAGTTTGTTTTCTTACCTGACAGAGCGCTAGTGTCAGGTATGAAAACAAACTCTTGGTCTGAAAAAAGAACCTAAAAGCATACAAAGAATATAATCCATCCATTTCATGACAAAATAACTGTTATGAAGCACCTTCAAATCTGAATTCTTTTTGTTTGGACCGTAATAATTCACACTAAGATCTTGTCAAGACATTTAAAAAGGAAAAAATAGCTCTTATATAAATACTCATATAGAAATATACCATAACTTTTTAAGAACAGTTTAGTTTAAAAGTCGTATAAATTGCAAAAATCTAAGTGCTTTGGTTTTGGACTTGAAATGACTTGAAGCTCAAAGCAGATGACTTGGACTTGACTTGGACTTAGACTCAAAACTCAACTTGAACTCGCCTGTATTTGACTTCGGACATGACTCTGACTTGAGGTCAAAGACTTGAAACTTGCAAAACCACGACTTGGTCCCACCTCTGACGCGAGCCGTTTTATAATTTAAACCGCGAATTCCAAAACGGACTTCTGCCCTGTCCTCCAGCTCCATTTTAACCCGGGCATTTTACCTTGTGATGTCGCGCGAACGCAACCTATTGATCTTTTGCAGCTGATGTCGTCAACATTCCCTGGGGGTGCGATGCTAACTGAAGGCACTACTCTGTCTGAGGCTTTGTTAAACTTTAATATGAGCTTTGTTTTAACACAGTCTGACCATAAAGTACGAAGTTAGTTGGAGCTGAGAAGATTTTATACTGTTAAAGGTCCTGTATCACACAAAATGGACTCTTGTGAGCTTTAAGCCAATGAGGAAACTACATATTGGACCTTTGAACAAGTCTCTCTCAAATAGGCGAGTTTCAGCTGACGTCATTGTTATTAAAAGCCCGCGTTGCATGCTGGGAAATATTTTGGTTGGAGGCAAGAAACACGATAGCGGTCAAACACGGTGCGTAACCTCACATATTTATCCCTGATAATGGTAAATTCCTGCTGCATTATCAGATGCACAAATAGAAGCACGGAAGAAGGAAAATGTCTTTTTCGTATTCTGAGTGAAAAGAACCGCTAACGGTGAATTAAACGGTTTTCAAACATCTGCAGAGCAAACGTAGAAGATCCTAACAAACCGTGGACTCCAACAAGTTCAACAACACATCGAGACTCTTGGAGGTTTTCATCTTTTCTGCTGTGAATGACCCAGGAGTTTCCACCAAGTCATTGTGGATGTCGCCCAAGTGAATATTTGTCCAGGTAGTTGGCGATTCTGACCAGAAATTTGGTTTGGTCCACCTTTTGTCGGGGTTGAAAAGGGTGATTTGGCTCCGTCGATGCTTATGACCAATTTCTGGTCAAATGGTCTTGGGTCCTCTGCCGTTAGAGTGGATAAATAACCGGGATCAATACCCTTTACGTGTTTTCTCCCTCCGTCCGTCATGTTGAATTAATGTTTCTTGCCGCTG